TATTTTCCAAAGCGCCTGAAGGCAGGACAAGAAGCAACGGATGGAAACTAATCAAGGAGAGAAGCAACCTAGAACTAAGGAGAAACTTCCTGACAGTTAGAACAATTAACCAGTGGAACAACCTGCCTCCAGAAGCGGTGAATGCTCCAACACTGGAAGTTTTTAAGAAGAAACTGGACAGCCATTTGTCCGAAATGGTGTAGGGTTACCTGCCTGAGCAGAGGGTTGGACTCGATGACCTCCAAAGTCCCTTCCAACTTTATTATTATTATTATTATTATTATTATTATTATTATTATTATTATTATTATTATTATTATTATTATTATTATTATTATTATTATTATTATTATTATTAATAATAATAATAATAATAATTTCTGATGTTATCAGTTATTTAGCCCAAATATTTGGCATTGTTTTAACTTCTTAAATGTATGGTTTCATTCAATCATATAGTAATAAATTGGAATAATGTTGTTATACTTTTTATTCCACAATTTAAAAATTGATAGGCTTTTAAAAATTGATAGGGCTCTAAGAGCTTCAAAGAAGGTAAAGGAGTGTAATGATCTTTAGTAAATTTCACTGTAATGAGAAGATAATATAAACACTTATTAAAACAAGTGTTTCTATACTTAGGAGAGACCTTCTGTTATCTCTGGAAAATTCCAGACACACTTGCTCTGAACGTCATCTGAAGTGCCACCTAAAAGTGTTGTCCATAACATTGGCCAGAATATAAGTTGAAACTTTCTGAAAATGTGTGACTAACTTTCGCAAAATTTGTTAATGTATTAAATATTGTATATTTGTATGTTCTAAATGTTGTATTTTTTGCTTTACAATTTATTCATCCTAATGTTTACAATACTAAAATATAGAAGCCAAAGCCAAGCTCACTTTTATATAACCTTCATTGGTCTATAGAGTACTTTTGGTATATACTGAAAATAAAACATGTCTTATTACAAAATTGTTGTATTGGGCTTCAGAAGCAATTCAGCTATGGTTTTAAAATAGCTTATTCTTAATCTTTTGGATTTCTCCAAATTAGTTAATTACTGATTAATTAAATTGACTTATTGACTCTTTTAGGATGCTACCTTTTAATATTTAGAAATAACACATAATCGGTCTTTTAGTCATGCAGGATTTTTTTTTCTGATTCAGAACTTGCTGTGAGAATTTAGTACTATGTACCCTATAGAATCAAAAGTTCATCTGTTCTGAATACCTGTTGGTCAAATAAGTTATGTTACTGGTACTGGTAAAATAATGTATTGTAAACTACCCAGATTGACCTGATTGAATCAACATTTCTTTTATGAAATTATTTAAAAGTTGATTTAAGTAGGAAAAATAGTTGAGATAAATGATAATTAAACAAATAAATTAGCTTATACTGATATATTAATACAAATATAGTGTCTTAAATTTTTCAACTCTGGTATCCATAAATTTTAAGAAAAAGGATACATAGTGTGTATCCGGCATATGCCTTACATACTGCAACAAAACAAACTCATAGGGAGCTTTGAGATAGGAACCAGTACTATAGCAGTACAGATGATCTAGAAAACATTCTTCTGGTTATAGAACAATACAGCTAGTCCTTGGATTACAACCATTATTGAGCCCTGGCAAAAATGTCATAAGTTGCAGTCATATAACTATAAGGCACTGCAAATGGCCGTAAATGTTGACCATTTGCCAAGGGCCCAGAATATTGTCATGTGACCTCGGGGGGGGGGGGTGGATGTCAGAACTTCAAAACTGGGTCATAGGTCCCTTTATCAGAGTCTATTGTAACTTTGAATGGCCACTAAGTGACACTTTGTATGTCGAGGACTACCTATATATTCTCATAGGCATGTATGTGTTTTTTTTCTTGCAGCTTTTTTAGCAACATTTTTGGAATTAGTTTGCCATTGTCTTCTAGGGCTGAGAAAGAGAATGAGTGGCCCAAAGTCATGCAGCTAGGAGTAGACTAGCCTAATGGCTTTAACCACTACACCAGACAGGCCTACTGAGCTGAAAACATGTTTCTTTTAAAATGTCATACTGATATTCAGAAGACAATTGTAGAGAAGGAAGTGGCATTTAATCATCAGATCCAGTCCCCTTGCTCTATGGGAAAAAAGGTCCTCTGGCCAAGCTTAACTAGTGGTTACACAGATCCGTGCAAGTTTTTGGCAACAGCACAAAGTTGGTTTACCATTGCCTTCCTTTGGAAATTTTTCAACTTCCAGTGCAGCCTACAATTCTCGGATTTATTGGCAGTCTGCCTTGTATGCATAAACAATCCAACTGTGCTTAGCTTTTTTTTTTTTTTTTAATATCTGGCTAATTTATGAAACCACTCCTGAGCCCTACATAGAGCTGAATTTCATAAGTCATTGTAAACAAAAAATAAAGAATACATTTTTCATTTATATAGTTTTATTATCTACAATCTTCATTGAAATGTTGCCCAAACTGTCAGTGGCACAGCTTCTCAATATGAGATATTCATTGCCTCCAAAATGTAACCAATGAATCCCAGGATGATGAAAATACAGAAAATAAAATCTGTGTTAATGCTTCAGTTAGATTTCACTCCCTTAAAAGAAAACATTAGATAGAAATATGCAGATTAAAGCTTCTATAAAATGTGAAACGGTGATACCTTAAAGAAAGAAGAAACATGGATATTTATAGTTTCCAAAATACATTCATGAAGTCTATTGGCTATTGGCTGTTTATCAATGGCTAAGCACCTTGATACATGTTATAAATGTGTAAATATATGAGGAAGATAAGACTTTTCTCATTTTCTGATTTATCAATGGTGTTTTTATGCATATTTTTTGTGCAGGTTCTGGGTGGATCATATCATCAGAGTTATCCAGCTGCAAACTTTCAGGACTATAATAATTGGGAGTCCCTGATGAAAATTAAAGAAGGGCTGTTAAGGCAAAAAGAAATTGTGATTGATCGGTAAGTAAATCTATTGTGGCCTCAATTTGCTTCACACTTGCCTTGCAAAGCAAGGCAGTCTCTTATTTTGCCCTCTTTGAGTAGTGAGCACTGGGGCTGTTTTAGGTAATAGAAACATATTTAGAGTTTATGGGGTGTAACTGTGTACCTCTATTTAGCAATATAGTGGTACTTATATATTATCTTGTGAATATAATTTATGCACAATTTTGTATACTTTCAAATTTTTAATTTGTATCGTAATATTTTAATATATTTTAATAATTTTTCTTAATAATTTTTCTTTGTTTTTATACTTTGTAAGCCCCCCAAATTGCCTTATAGGAGAGATGGGCAGCATAAAAATTTAATAAAATAAATAAATAAAATAAATATACTATTATAGGATAATGCTGAATATTTGATCTCTGGTGACTTCTGTTTGTCAAAGCATAACAAGGCTTTGTATTAAACTACACTGATATATAAAATGTAATGTCATTAAACAAGATGCAATTAAAATTGAACAATACTATGGAATTGCTCCATTTCACTTTAAACCAGTAAACATTTTGTAAAGTGATGTTCCTGAAGATTTATGTACAGCATTTGATGCAGTATGGTTGCCTACATCCATATTTCATTAATTATGGGGCCCTGTGTAGTCTTCTCTTCACATTTTTATGGGACTAGTAGTCTTCCTTTTGGTGTACCTAGGGTTCTTTGCTTTTCAGCCCTTCATACTTGCATGAAGAAAAGCATATAATAAAAAACAAATGGATATGATTATGTTAAAAAAAAGTGACATCCATACTGAAATCATTATGGTAAAGGTATACTCTTATATATGTTTTGGGCTATGATTGACATTTCCTTGATACAAAAAGATAACCACTTGGTCCATAAGGAAGTACACATTCTCATTCTCAGCATTACTTCTGATCACATGGATTGATTGAAAGATAAAAAGAGTTCATGACTCTTTGAAGATAATTCATTAAGAAATTTTGAGAATTTCATTCCAGAAACAGTTTAATTGAAATTGTAGTTTATAGTGCATCATATTAGATGAATATAATAAAGGTGTGAACACATGAGAGTGTTCCTATTCCCTTCTTCTTGACTGCCATATGATTTAGTTTTGCTTTATTTTTTTAGATTGCCTCATTATTTTCATTATTTTGCAATTATTAAACACTACATTTTAACACTAGAGGGAGTAGTATGTTCTTATATGATTTTGCATAGTATTACATTTGTGCCTTGACTTGGCTCTCTTGAAAATAACTTACACTATGCAACTACTGCTTTACAATATTTTAAATTGTTTTGACCTTGATTGGCCATGGCATACTACTACTGAAGTGTCCGTGCTAATATTGGCACTGTTTATTGGCAAGGATTACCTAGAATGATAGTGTGAATAAATTCCAGATGCTAGGCACATGACATAAGTCCCTGGAAATAATAGCCTTTGCTGTGTTCTCTGTTAAACAGCATTGTGGTGTTCCAAAGGCTTTTTTTTTTTTTTTTAGGAAAGGTAAACTCTAAGGTTAAGATTTGGAGGAGTAAATGTCATTCCACGTAATACAATAATACTTGAAATTCTGAAGTTGATCATCATAATAGAAATATGATGATCACTGATTATCATTAATAGAAATATAGTTAACATTGTGAGTCTGTTGATTAAATACATGTTTTTGTTACCATGTACTGTACATGTATTTGCTTTGACTTGATCAGTGGCAGAACAAAGCCATATTGATATTGCCTGATGCATAATTGAGTCATATGAAAGAATTGGTCTTAAATTTAATATGATTAAATTCTATCTTAGAATTCCTCCTAGCAAGTCCACTGTTCATGTGAATTCAGTTGCCCTCATACTTTATTGAATTGCATGCTGTTTGGATATACTTTTAAATATTCAGAAACAAGTTCAATTTTTGCACAGTTGAGCTGTTCTTGCTCTTTTAATGTGATTGCTTTTTTTTATACTGCCTAACATATATTGGGAATGCATTCCAACATGGGTTACAGGGTCCCACTTGTTCTTTCTAAAAGCCATCTAACAAGCAGCTAATGTAATTTCTTAGGATTCCACTAAGCTATGCTCTTTTGGAAGGAATGTTACTGTTAATCAGCTTCTGTTCTAATGCCAAGTTCTAATGCTATAATGGAGAGGGAATGCTCTCTATTAGTGCTATAGAGCTATTCATTTTATAAGCCTCTGTCTGGTTTCTAGAAACAATGTTTCAACCCTTTGTTCTTTTATAGCTGAAAACGTAGGCACGCTTACTTAAAAGTAATCCTTTTTTAACAGAATAAAAATAATTCTGAAGAAATTTGTGGGATGGCTGAAGATTATGTTCTTGTTTTGAGTTTTGGAATATGCTTTTCAGAGCAGAGTAATAAAACTAGGCATCATTGGTAGCAAAGGTGTGAAATAATGGGGAGAGCATCTGATAGCATAACAGATCCCCTCACCTTCTTGAAGACTCCATGACTTCTCAGTTATGTACCAGAGAATTGGCATCGGATTGAAAGAGAGAGAGCAAAGGAAAGTTCCATTGCATGAGTGGACATCCACTCACACATAGTTGGACTTCTTCCACTACTCTAAATCTGGCTTCACTAGAGATTTATATCAATGAAATATATACATGCTGTTTTTCATTTGAAAAAACAAGAATTAATATCCAGAATAAATTAAAATAAATATTTTCTATTCTTATCTTATGCTTGGTCAAATATGACAAGAATTTCATTAAAGCAAAGGCCATAAGAGGTCCAGTTTGAGGTAGTAATTAAGGCACCAGGATAGAAACCAGGAAGTTGTGAGGCACAAAGCCAACGGGGTGATATTGGTCCAGTCATTCAGTCTCATCTCTAGGAAGCAGGCAATGGCAAATCACTTCTGAAATCTTGCCAAGAAATTTTAAACATATAGCTGGTTTAAACATATAGCTGGTATTTATGTACCTGTGTTATACCAAGAGTTTTACAAACAAAATTATATAAAATATATCTGAATATACTGTAATTAAAATTGACTTCAGAATAACTGACTTGGTTATTGAACTTTTAAAGAAAAAGATAATGCAGGCTTGGAATCAAATATAGTAGCTGAAGATATTATTTAACCTGAATTAACTGTTTAGTTTTCTGGCTGTAGAGTATAGAGAGAAATCAGTTCATACTGTATAACAGTTGAACAAATTCTAAAAACCTTGGTTTGTATCAAAATCAGATTCCCTCCTCCCTCAAAAAGCAAAGGCAGTGGAATTGGAATAGTTTCTCTATTAGTCTAAAAAGTTACTTTCAGACTTATTGTAAATTTTAAAATAAATCCATATATATATAAAATACCATGTTGTTTTATCTTATTGAACACACATTATTCTGAATTTGAAAGCTGTACATAAAATAAGAAGAAACACCCCCCTACAATATTTCAAGTTTGTCCACATTTGAGTTATATCTGTTGAAAGAACGATATAATCCACACAGTTTCAATCAGCATTTATAAATAAATATTATACATGTGAAGATTACGTGTATAACTGAATACCTATTGCCTCTTAGCACCTGTTTATGTGCCACCGCCTGTCAATTATATGCAGTATGTTTAAAATAGAGGAGAAAAGAAAGAAGAACCTTGGAACTGGATTTTGAAATAACCAATTTCAGGTTTTATTAAACCCTTTAGGAAGAAATTAGGTAAAAATTGAATCAGCATTTATAATTACCAGGAAGAAAGAACGGAGAACAAAGTGGCCTCTGTGATCCAATAAAACAGTGGAGGACTTGTACAAAGAAAATAAATGTCAGAATATTTTCCAGGCTTCTCAAGGGAAGATTTATACCTCTCCAATAAGATACGGTTTTGTGTGGGACGTTTTCCATGTCCGATTTCGCTCTGCTGGGGACCCTAAAAAGGTCACCCAGGAGAGGTGACGAAGAAAAAGGGGGACACTTGTCGATCACGGAGGGGCAGTTGCACTTCCGTTTGATCCGAGGAAGCCCTTCAAACCGGGAGAAGAAAGACTGGCCACATTTATGAGGCCAACCAGAAGCCACCGACAACCCAAGATAAGCACTAACTAACAACCTCTGAACAACACGGATGGAACTGGGTGAGAACAACCCTCTCTTTATAATTTTAAAACCTCTTCCTGGAAAAAAGAATTCCCAAAGCAAAGAGTCTGCCAGATGATAGAGAGAAGGAGAATTTCTACCCCATTCTCTCAGGAAAAGAGAAGCGGTGAATAACTTTCTTTGGGGGGAAATTAGAGAAAACTACAAGATTAATTTGGATTTAATATAGAGACAAAGCTTTGACAAATTTGGGGACTAAAAGTATTTTTAAGACTTTCTTTTTGAAGATATTTGGAAAGTTAGTGAAATAGGTTTGAACTTAAAAGCTGGAAGATGGATGTTTACGACATCTAGTGGTGAACCTTGGCATTACAATTTATTATGCTTAAAGAAAATTTGGCACGAAGCCTGGACTTAGATAAGGCTCTTTGTTATCCCTGGAAACTTTCACTTTTCCAGATTGCAGCTAGGAAAAGGGAAGAAAAATCTTTGGGCTGTTTTATCTTTATGAAGGAGACAAGTAACCATTCTAAATTGGCCGACCTGGATTACAAATATTGATTGATTTTTAGTTTCAAGAATTATCAAGAACTATTAAGAAACAGTGAGGAAGTTGCTTCTGGACTATTTCTCTTTGGAAGAAACATGGATAATCAACAAGAAAATGTAAATGGACTTCAGAAAGAAATTCTTTCCATGTTGAAATCAATTCAAGAGACAATTGTTTTAAATTATGAGGAGACTAAAAATAATTTAAATAACATAAATGAGCAACTCTCCAACTTAAACTTACAAGCAAAAAATGTTTAAAAATGACCATAAAGAATGAACTAGCAACTCAGAAACCAGAAGAAAAAATAGAGGAAACTGACATAAAGATAGAGGATTCGAAAGAAGAAACCAACAGACAGGCACAGATAAGTAAAAATTTGGAAGACCAGATATAACACCGGAAATGGGAAAGACATTTCACTTTTCAAGACGTCAGAGCATATTTGAGGACAAGGAAGCAGAATTGATAGAATGGATGACAGAGCTCTTAGGAGAAATGCTGAAAACTAGGGAACGAGAAATTGAAGGAGAAAGAAAATGGAGGCTGTTTAACGAATATAAATGGATTAAACGTTTTTACAAAAACACTTTAATTAAATTGTCTTTTTATTCCAAATAATATATACAGAAACAGAGGAAGAAATACTTGGGGACCTAAATGCACTGACTTGCAAAGTTATTTGGCAAAGGAAGAAAGCTAGAGTAAGACTGAAGAAAATAAAGGTCCTGACTAATTAGATGAGATATTATACCATCTAATTGATGTTTGAATATGATTAAAAGAATAGACAATTGTTAGAAATAAAAGGACCATTATAAATTAGAAGGATGTGATTTGTAGCTAGGACAGGGGTAGGCAACCTTGGCTCTTTGGCCTATCCCTGAGCTAGGATAACAATTTTTTATAAGATGGGAAATATAAAACTACTAAGAGGGTCGGTATAAGGAAAGCTTTTAGTTACCCAAATGTAATTAATTATGAGAAAAATGATAATTGATAAAGTTATTTTGAATATTGATGGGAAATTAAAATTGAAAAAAAGAGTTTAAAGGAATGGAGAATGCTTAATCATGAGAAGAAAAGACTGGGAACACAATAGAATTCTTTAAATATTTGAAATATGTCAGACTGAAGAGCAAAACATGTTTTCCATTGCTCCATAGCAAGACATGCAATAATAGCTTGAAGTTGCAGGAAAGTAGATTCTTATTGATTGTTAGAAAAGGCTTCCTGATACTCAGAACTATTTGGCAGTGGAACTACGGGCTCTTTGGTCACTAAATATGTTAAAGCAAAAGCTGGATAACCATCTGTCATGAATGCTTTAATTTGAATTCTTGTCCCAAGATGGGAGGTGGGCTCAATGGCTTAAATGCCTGATTCCAACTCCATGATTATATGATTCTGGATACTTTGTAAGGAAGGATCTTCAGATTCTAGGACACCATTTCCTCAGACATACCCTCCTGGAACATCGTGCAATCACCACCTCTGCGGCTATCCAGGCTAATTTCTTCTTATTAGGTTTAGTGGAAAAGATATCAATTGTTTGGATCACTCTGCTTCTCTTTGGTAGTTACCGAGAGTTATTGCTTCTGTTTCTATCCACTAAAGAAAGAAGACAGGTAAGCCGCCTAATTAATTTATGAATCACAATTAAGCAACACTCAATATTTACAGGAGTCTGTCATGTAGGTGCAGCTTACTTTATCATTGAGAACAAATGATTGCGATTGATATTTTATTCTCTGATAAGTGCAACTTATCAAATATCAAAATGATTGATATTTTACTGTGTGATAAGTGCAACTTACTTTGCAAAATGTGATCAAATGAATAGGGGCTTTCAGCAAGGGAGAAATTAAAAGCATCTTGGCAAGAAATAATGGATCCAAGTGATTTTTTAAAGGATTTTAAACAGCTTAACTAAAGTAAAGTAACTTTTAAAAAAACAAACAAACCCATGATTGACTTTGAGAGCAAATAATTTCATTTTGGTATGTGAATTTGGATTTTTCTATAGTGGAAACTTGAGGACCTTTAACAAGTTAAATTTAAGAATCTAAAAGATGCTAGTATTATTTCTAGACTACCACTGTTGTCATATTATTTCAGTTGTCACATGCTGAGTAGATTTTTGGGATCATAATGTGAAGTGCATGCTGCATTTTTTTTTAGTAAAGCCTTATCAACATGGAGTTACATAGTGGATTACTAGTAACAGCTGTTGAGGTACCAAAGGATTATAGCCACCATATAACATTATCAACAACGAAATGCACAAATCATGAGACTTTTATTGTCAGATAACGCCAGAGACTTAGAGGATTATGTGCAGAATTGAAGATATTCCTGTAGAGTTTGTTTTGATATGCTTTTTGAATAGCCACCATCTTTTACATTCTCTTTTTAAGGTTCAAATTGTGAAAATTAAAGTTGTTCTAGCTAATTGCTTAAAAATTAATGAAAATGTTAACATTGATCCTTGTTTTTTTTAGTGAGGCTTGAGTGTAACAAGTCATCCCTAGTAAGACATTCAGCTTTCTGTTGCTTTCTTTGCTAAAATTCCAGCTCTGGGAACCCTCAGAATAATGGTTGGAAGAGACTTTTTAGTACATGTAAAGCTTCCTCCAGTTGTTATGCAGAACACTTTGGCTACTCCATGCAGTGTCTTTTTTCCCTTTCACATTGTATCAACAACTGCTTGAAGTTAAAGAAAAAAATTAAAAACACAATCAACAGGTCAACTCTTTGATCTAATGATCACTTGGTGGCAATAAAAAGTTTGGTTGTTGGTTTTTTTTAAAAAAATCTCTTGCCTGCTATTTAATAGCTGTCTGAATTTCTTGTAGTTGAGATGCATCCAGTAGATCTTTGCTGCCCAAAAGCAACAGTTTGAGAAAGATAATTAGCTTGGGGTGGGAGACATAAATTATGTAACATGAGGAGAGGAAAACAAGAAGCTAAGATTTTCATGGGGGAAGCAACAAATAGGAAAGGAATTCCCATCCGTACAAGCTGTAGAGGTACAAGAACTGAGTTCTTTCAATTGCACTTTCAAGGATATGCATTAAGTCAAGTGAATTTCAAGCTACAGTATGTAATAATCAAAAGCTCGTCATCTTGGTATGAAAACCCATGGAAATTGGAATGTATTCATGAATCCAAATATGTAAGTACAATGAAAATATACTGTAGCACAACTAAAATATGTACAAGTTAATTTTACATGCCACTTGCAGATTTCTGGAGATGGAAAATGCATGTATATTATTCATTGATGTATGCTGGAGGTACATTTTCTGTTCTGAAATAACGTATTCTGCATTTCCCATTAAGAATCACATTTGCACAAGGGAGCTTTTCCCTATCAGTTCAATAAAAAGAAGAATCCTTTTTTTAATTTTTTTATGTGCAGAAAGAGCTATGAATCCGCTGAAATGAATCAGAAGGTTTTCATAGGCATGAAAGCTTTATATGCTCAACAAAAATCATAGGGACAGGAATAAAATGCTGATTACATCATTAATATTAATTGAGACAGTCAGTACAAATTCCAAAATTACATTTGAGATAATAAAATGCTAATTCCATCTCGAATGGATGAGAGGGTGAAAATAAGACTCAAGTAACTTGACTTTTTCCTTTCTTATAATTTCCAGGCAAAACCAGCAAATTAACCTTCTGTATCAGAAAATAAGAGAGAATGAACTACGAGCTCAACAAGCAAGATTAGGGCACATTGTAAATTGTGAAGAATCATACATGAATAGTTTCCAGGTAAGATGAGGTTTTTGTTCTGTATTTGTTATTATTAGTCTAATGAAAGTCCTGAAAAATTCAACATCCTTCAGGACAAATTTATATTAACATTATAATGAAACATCCCACTTTCTACAGGTAGAAGTATGAAAGAAATTTGGTGCATAGTGTAAAGGAGCACTTATGCACTTGAATATCATTTGAAATCAGTTCAATATATGTGTTATTATTTCCTTACACGGGTTTCAAATTGACACATATTACATTTAAATGCTTTGACATTTAAACATCTAAAGTTTCGTTATATACATAACACTAATATTATTTATTATTGTATCATTAGAGGTTTGAGTATGACTTTAGAATACAGACTTTTGATCATATAGGTGTTTTTCCTTTACTTTTCTCATTTGATATGCTTTTGTATACTAGAAAACCTATGACTTGTTGAGTCATCCTTTCACAGATATTTTCTTACCTAAACAAAGAAACAGACTACAGACAGGCAAAAAAGCAGGAACAACTTCCAAATTCCCTCTGGCTTTCCCATTAATTTTGCTTGTGAAAAACTGGCAGGGAGGGTTAGAAATCATTCTTTCACTCTTCCTTGGCTGACCTGCGGAACTGTCCGCCACTTTGCTGGGTAAAGAGGCACAAAGGAAGCTGTGGGCTGCAAGGAAGACAGTATCCCTGCTCCCCACCCCAGCGTATCACCAAGGTCTCATTCAGGAAAAGAGAAGGTTCATCTGTCAACTGCTGGCACCTCACAACCATCCCTATCTTGCCAGCAGTTAACTGAGTCAAAAATTCCAGTGGGAGAACCTTTCTGAAGAGCTTTCCTTCAACTGTGTGGTAGTTAGTAACAGTTTCTTCTTTTTCTAATCGTTTTCTTGTTCTTTTCCTAAACCAGCCTCAGTATGAGAAAATATCAATGCCAGCTCAATTTGCAGAGAGATCTTTGACCCAATGTGAAAGGGAGCAAGTTAAGCTTGTATCAGTACAAAATAAGGAGCTACAGCTCAGTGAGTTTTTGAAAGAAATAGTAAACAAATCTAATGAAGATAAAAAGAAAATGGAAGAGAAGGTGAGTCTCATACTGATGTTATTGAATAATTTGATCTCTATAATACAAGCATACATTGCTTAGTCATGTATGCTGCATTATAGCCGGCAGATTTATTTACTGGATCTTTAGATTATTCACTAGGATAATTTTCCCATTTCGTATAATTGAGAGAAGTGTTTTGTATTTATTTGAAGTGAATACATCATTCAGAAAACCATTAAGCATCAAAGCTATTTATGCAGTTTTTTTAATATTTTAGACATAGTCTACCAGCAGGAATAGAAATTATGCTACTTTGAAGAAGTTTTTTTTTCCTGTTGAGGCAGGTAATCTTAGGAAGCAGAATTTAATTGGTCTCTAGAGTGCTGTTATTAATAAAACAAGACATAGTTTGGATAGACATGTAGGTAAATCCTGTAAAAATGTTTAATTATGGAAATATTACACTAAGCAAAAGTATGCAGTCTTTGAAAAAAAATCAACATTCTATTACATTCTGTTTTATCTTTTCGCTAACATTATTTTTATTAAAATACTAAACAACCCTTGCCCCGTTTCCTTATCAGATTCCTCAATGCCTTCTACAGTGACAGAATTTATAATACACTGCCTTTATGGGAAAAGTTAGGATAGATTCAGAAATGTATCTGCCTTGAAAATAGCCCACATTGAACTGTATAGCACAGTCAAACATCAGCCCATGAAATATTTTGTGACCTGAAGTACCATATCTTAAACTGTTTTATGATTATTTTTATATCATAAAATGCTTTACAATATATAGATTTGCCTAATTTCAATTCCATGGGAGTCCTAACCCCCAGTTTTTGGACACATTCTGTAAGTTAGCCCATTTGAAGTATCTTGGTTCAAAAATTATTGTCCTGTGATGCACTTACTAGTTCAAGGTTACATTTTTAGTAACATATAAATAGATAATGCTGAAAATAATGGTGATTGAGCTTGAAGAATAAATCAACCTATTCTTTTTTTAATTGGTTTCTTACTTTACCTTTTACATCTAATCTTACCTTTTTTCTAGCTCAAAACCCGAGACAGGTACATAAGTAGCCTAAAAAAGAAATGCCAGAAAGAATTGGAACAAAATAAAGAGAAACAGAGACGAATTGAAACACTTGAAAAATACCTAGCTGATTTGCCAACACTGGATGATATTGAAAGGCAAAGTAAAGAGGTAATTGATGTGTTGTTTTGCTTTAAAAGCAGCTCATTCAAAGGTTTTGCTGAGTGATATATTTTCGTGCTTCCTACCTGCCCACAATGTACTCTATATAGTTTCCACACTTTTAACAGAAATCCCTTTAACAATCAATTGTGTTCAGAATTATTGAATATACAGACATAAATCCAACAGTGTTCCTGTACTGGTGCAATAGCCCACTGTTGGAGCATCAGTTCCCAGTCTCTCCTGCAGCCTCCCAGTTCTGCTTTCCAGAAGTTATGTGAGACTCTCTGCAGAAGGAAGAAAATCTTAATGCACAAATAAAAATTGCTTGTTTAAAATGTTTGTTTAGCCTATAAGATTTTAAATTGACAGATACATCACTTTGTGTGTGTATGCGAGAGAGAGTGTGGGGGGGGGATGGGTATGCACGCACGCATATGAATGTGTTTAAGGAAAAATTAATTATGAAAAACGATATTAATCTTCAATTTTTTAATAATCCAGTTGTCACAATACATATATTATCTTTAACATCTTGTATTCTTGGATTTAAGAAAATTAATAGGTGTGGGATTCTCATAATTACAGAATTAATTTTCAAGAAAAGCCCAACATAATCTGTCGGGATAATACAAAATAATTAGTTTTTTACATTACAAATTTACATTATAAAAATTGTTAAAAATGAGACTTCCCCCTATCCTTAAAATGAAACACTTTTAAATTAGATATGATAAAATGCCTTAAGGATTATTATATTAGAAAAAACAGAAAACCTGAAACATTTTACTTTTGCTATTTAATAATAGTACAGAGCCCAGACAAAATTTTTAGTTGGATCTTTTGGATTTATAAATGCCTCAGGAAAGAAGAAATTAAAAAGAATTATGTTGAATTTTACAAACTTCAAAAACAATCAGCAATACCGGAAGTTGTATGCCTTATTCCTTGTCCCTAAGGTGCTTTTTTTAAAAAGGCAACTGGACTTTCTGATTTTTCTTTAAGACATTTCGCTTCTCACCCATGAAGCGCCATCAGTTTTGCATTATCCTTTGAGATCTTTATTATTTGTAAAAATGATGATTTCTATACAATATTAAAAGTCAGTGCATGGCCGTGCTCCTTTACTTTGATAGCCTCTGCAAACTATTTCTTTTACTTTGCATTTGTCTTTTTGAATTGTGCCAAGAGAACAGATTTCATTCTTGCAAGTCTATGGGAAAATCTTTCCTTCCTTCCTTCCTTCCTTCCTTCCTTCCTTCCTTCCTTCCTTCCTTCCTCCCTCCCTCCCTCCCTCCCTCCCTCCCTCTCCTTCCAAGTCCTTGCAGACTTTTTGGGCAATCTTTTTTGGGCAGTGGTTTGGCTTCTTGGCTTCTTCCTAGGGGTGAGAGAGTGCTACAGTCTCTAAATGACCAAGACATGTTTAAGGCAGGACTAGAATTCACAGCCTCTTTGATTTTTGTCTGATGCCCTTAAACTTCCTGTTTTACAGCTACAGGGTCTTGAAGAAAAAAATAAGCAACTGAAAGCTACTATGGCTAAGCTAGAAAAGGAATTGGAAGAATCTAAGACACAATGTAAAGAAAAAGAATTGCAGCTTGTGTGCCAGAAGAAGAAAGAAAAAGAGTTGATAATTGCAGTGCAAAGGTATGGGTAACGAAATTGGTCACCCTCTGGGTGTGTTGCTGCATATAAGATATTTCCATCTAGTGATCTGCTGATTCAATTCTAGTGGAGTTGGTAGAAATAAACTTTTATCTTCTATATTACACAGAAGGCAGGGCAGCCACATATTAGTGCTTTAAGCATTGAGTAAGCAGTGGGGTACTACAAGGTTCTGTCTTAGGCCCAGTACTATTCAATATCTTCATAAATGACTTAGATGAGGGAATAGAAAGGGATCTCATCAAATTTGCAGATGACACTAAGCTGGCAGGAATAGCCAACATCCCAGAAAACAAGCTCAGAATCCAAAAAGATCTTGACAGACTTGAACAATGGGCCCTATCCAACAAAATGATATTTAATGTGGAGAAAAGCAAGGTTTTTACACCTGGGCAGGAAAAATCAAAAATATAAGTACAGATTAGGCGAGACCTAGCTCAAAAACAGTAACTGTGAGAGAGACCTTGGAGTCCTAGTGGACAATCACTTAAACATAAGTCAGCAGTGTGCCAGCCAAAAAAAGTAATATAATCCTTGGTTGTATAAACAGAGGTATAGAATCAAAATCACATGAAGTATTAGTACCACTTTATAAATCCTTAATAAGACCACACCTGGAATGATATATCCTATTTTGGTCACCACATTACAAAAAAGATGTTAAGGCTTTGTAAAAAGTGCAAAGAAGAGCAACTAAGATGATTAAGGGCCTGGAGACAAAAACCTATGAAGAACGGTTGCAGGAATTGGATATGGCCAGTCTAGAGAAAAGAAGGACTAGGGGTGACATGATAGCACTATTCCAGTATATGAGAGACTGCCACAATGAGGAGGGAATCAATTTATTCTCCAAAGCACCAGAAGGCAAGACAAGAAACAACAGATGGAAACTAAGAAAGGAGAGAAGCAACCTGGAATTAATGAGAAACTTCCTAACAGTGAGGACAATTAACCAGTGGAACAGCTTGCATTCAGAAATTGTAGGTACTTCATCACGCGAGGTTTTTAAGAAAATATTGGACAGTCACTTGTCTGAAATGAGCAGGAGGCTGGATTAGAAGACCTCCAAGATCCCTTCCAGTTCTATTCTGATTGCTTATGTATTATTGTGCTTTTAGGGAGGAAGGTGTGGAAAAGCTCTATTAAATGAATTATTTAATTCATTAGTTAAATGATTATTCATGATTGGCTTATGGTTTAAAACTGCTTCTCCAACCTACTGTCCTTTTAATATTTTATAATATGTCCTCCATCAATGACAGGATGTCTGGCTATCTGATGCTAATTTTCCAGCTTAGTATAACTGGCAAAACTTCAGTGTTCACACACAGTGGCATAACAATAAAAAAGATCTATCCTACAGAAGTTGGTAAACTTTCACCTATAGATGAAAAGCATCAATCCCAGGAAGAACTGTTCCCAGGCCTCTTCTATAGGGAATAAGGACTGCTTTTCTCTGTACATGTGACTGGAAAATTATTCCCTGTTTTGAATAAAGCAAAGCAGTTCTTTGTTTAGACATAAAAATTCAACTTCTCTGTCTGCAAAAAAAACAACAACATGCTTCACTCTGGACAAGAAAAAAATTGTTCCCTCCCACTGCAGTGAAATGGGACCATTTTCTCTACAGAGAAAATAAATTAAGAGTGGTAAGCTTCCTAGGGAAAAAATGTTATAAAACGAAGGGTTTTTCCCCCCATTGGACAAGGCTTCATGGGACATGTTTCTCCTCTATGATGTTCCACCCACTTCTTTTACCTAGTGTGCTGATGATGTTGAAGGACAGTTTGGCTCATGGCAGCATGAAAGTATTTATCTCTGCCTAACATCTTAAAAATTGGCAAAAAATATTAGGAAGAGTCTGAAAAATGCCATGAAACCCATCAAGAATTTCTTCTAATTTCCCTTCTGTACTTAATCTCTACAGATGATAAAGTCAGCTTGGAAAGTTGTATGTTTGTTAGTTTAGTTTCCTGAAAGAAATTAACAGAATCCAAAAGATCAGCAATTTTAACTTCCGACAACAAAATTAACAATATGTGGCATCTTTAAAGGCTGAAAGAAGTTTTATGAATGACCAGGTTTCATGTGGTATCATTTAGGTGTCATTTGCAAATGTATCTTAAAATAAGGCAATTTGAATCCCTTGTTTTATGAAGTTTTTTTGAAAAAACTGGTACAGAAATTAAAGGAAAAATTGGTAATTCTCCAGTACAGATAGTAACAAAAAATTACCTTAGTATTTCATTTTGAATATCCTAAAGTATGGGCCACTTGAGTTCATGACCCTAAAAGATAGAAGAAACAAACAGCTTGTTCAGATGATGAAAGGTTAAATATTTAAGGATAGTTAGCCAAATCTCTGAGTGCATTGTTTCCATCTTACATTTGGTACCTCTTTTGTTTGTGAGAGTATAATCCACCGTGCTGGTTTTGTGTTCTCCTGAAAGTCTATACATATTTGAAGCAGAGTCTTGCTTCTATTTTAAACCACAATTTTCATTGTGATAATATTTTCATCCTTGAAAAATGATGATAAATGAAAGTAAGATGCTTACCTGCTCTGGAACATTTGTATGTCATAGGGCTATTTACATGGACAAGTCTTTTTTTTTTTAGTGGGGGGGCATAATATTTAACCGATATGGGAAGAAACAGTGTGAGTTATCCAGGTAATTTTTCTTGTCTTTGAATGGCAACTTTTGCCCTGACTTGTCCGCTTGTTTGTTTTGCTGACTAAAATGTAAACGACAGCTTGCAACAGAAAGTAGAAAAATGTCTGGAAGATGGTGTCCGCCTTCCTATGTTGGACGCAAAACAACTTCAGAATGAAAATGAAAGCCTCAAAGAAAAAAATGAGAAGGCTTACAAGGTCAGTACATTAAAATGGTCATATGGTTGACTAAATATCAAGTGGATTCAGTTTTGGTCTATATTGCTGTCATATTAGTTTTTCCTCTCTGTTACCATTAACAAGAAAAGAAGTTACCAGCCGGTGCTTTTACTCAGGATTACTGTGTGCTCAGATAGAGACAGAGATTGAGAGTGGAAGCAAATCAACGCAAGCCTATTGTTACCGACTTGCTGCTGTTAGCATTTATGTATTTATATAATATTGAATGGAAGATATTTTATTCCAACATTACTATCTTAATATTTATAGATATATTTTCCTAAGAACTTAAGAATATCTCATTGGGATTGAGCCAGGCTCCATCTTCATCCAGCTTTCCCTCCATGCTTACAATTGTCCATGGATTCCTACTCTTTGCTTTCTGGCTTTTTAACTGGTTAGCAATTCATAATAGATAGGTCCTTCTTTCTCATGACCTCTGGAAAAGTTTACTGAAAAGCTGTTGAGGAATTTTGTCAAAGACTTCTTGAAGGTCAGGAATGTCAGCAAAGTAACCAACCTGATTATTAGTATTCTCAAAAGCTCCAGACGGTTGGATACCTTGTGAAATCCATGCTGATTTTATTCATCAACATTCTTTAGTTGTTCTTTTCTGGTTATCATTTCTACCAATTTTCCAGGTGCATATATTAAGCTGACTGGAACTTCCCTGTGTCCCTTTTTAAAGACTAGTATTGCTTTCATTCCATTCTCCTGTAAATGCCCTTCAGAACATTAACACTTCTAAGCAATTTCTCTGTGTTGTTAATTCCAAACATGATGTTGCAATATCTTTTAGAAATATATGTCCTTCAAAAAGATACAGGAAACCAGAAACACAAATAAGAATATTATTACCTTCTTTTCCTCAACAGGTCATAGACAATCAACAAAATCGGATCACTGAGATATCTTTAGAGATACAGGTAATGCAGTGTGATTTTCACAGGTCTCATGTTTACCTTCTGCATCAGAAGAAAGCATTCTCATCATAAAAGGAAGCTGTGAATGCACTTCATAAACTAGCATTACGTTAGTTAGTGATATTTAAATAATCATTTATTTTGCTTCAGTCATTTAGCTTTCTGAACTGCAAGTCTAAAAATAAATCATACAAAGGAATAAATGCTACAACATGGCCAGCTTGAATAGAAAAGGGTAACCTTATCCTTACAGACCAGTTATTTCCCCCTTCAGCAGGACTTCTGTTGTGTCAGTGAAGTGAGGCTGGAATCTATTGGCTAATGTTGGTATGCAGCTGACCTCTGATTTATGACTAACTGACTTGCCTAGAATGCGTTATGATACTGGGAGTAGAGTTTTTGCTGGAAGAGGGCAGGAAGATAGTTGCCAGTTTTACTCTGTTCATTTTCAGTAGTAAAAACCTCGCACATAACAGTAAAACAAATACACTTACAACTGATGCCTTAACAGTATATCTTTGCTGGAATTTCCACACTAGTTTCCCTACAATTTTCTCTGCATTTTCATGCCTTTAGCTTGCTCTTTACAAACTATAAATGTTAATTTGTCCTTTAAAAAGAAACAAGAAAAGAAAACCAAGTAGTTTTGTAAAAAAAAATTACTTTAGGAGACAACTTTTGGGTATATTCACAGGAAGGAAAAATACTCTGATCATAAAGTGGTTTTTTTCTGGCAAAATGGGCTTGTGAGAACTTATCATTTTTGAATGTGAGAAATTGTTTACTTGCTATCAAAAAATTGGATTACTTAGCTTATTAACAGTGGTCATATATTATATAAAATGAAAAACCACCACAGCTTATCTAGTATCAGTGAAATTTTTCTGATAGTTATATGCATAGAATTGTCATGTAGGAGCATCATGACTTTATGAAGATGGTATTGAAGTGGTTGAAATTGATGACACTTATGCATATTGAAACACGGGTTATTGCTTTTCTGCACTAAAACTTGAGTATTGATTGACATGATGATAATAGTACTATGTAGACTTTGAGATTTCAAATTATTTTATTAAGACTTTATACAGTTTGAATATGATTTCTAGTTCTATATGTCATAATATTAAGCAGAAAATTAGCCTTACATGAGCTAATAGCCCTTACTTCATCTAACTTCTTGTATACTTCTATTATCATTTCTTTCATATTATGTTTTAACAGAATTGTGACTGGATTTCAGTTTGATAACAAGGATATAAGTTTAACGAGTTAATTTTAAACTCTAGTTAGTGTTAGTTAACTGGAAACTGCAGTTAAAGAATCCACAACATAGTGCTGAAATTCTGTCACAGCAAAATCATATGCATCTAGTACCTATTCTTCACAGGAGGATAAATATTTATGAAGAATAGGGTCAGCTGAATATAAATGAGTTTAGAGCGTTTTTCAGACTGGTTATTACTGAGATGTGCGTACTCAACAGAATCCCCAACCAGCATGATATGTATATATATTATCACATATATATTATCATTCTGGGGTTGATGTTCACAGGGTTTGGCATCTAAAGACTACCAAGTTGGGAAAAGGTGATTTAGAGCAAATAAAGCAAGCGGAGGTTTAAAACAAATCTAAAGTGTGGTCCTGGAACACCAGTAGAAATGCTAGTAACACTGAGATCTTGATGTGGCTGTCTTGCTGATCAAATCATAGATATGTGTTTCTGTTTTGAATATGGCTTGTTTGACATACTAATTATTTTTGTACTTTTTTTTTGTACTCATCCCAAAATCACTTCTTGTGAGATGGGTGGCCATATAACTTTGATAAATAAAAAATTAGGAACTAGAAGAAATTAGGAAGTAGATTTTATATCCAACTGCAGATACAGCAAGAGCAAAGGAAGCATGGACCTTGTAAAAAAAAACTATTAAAAAAAGAAGAAAGGAAGTAACATTTTATAGGAGGCAGATATATTTCATTTTTCTTTCTCTTTTTGAGGAGCGTTGAAAGCTGGACTCTTGAGATTTCCCTCCCGTTCAAACTCTGCCTTGTTGCTGGGCACTAGGCAGAGATGGGAAAAAATGTTGGCTGTACTTGACAATCCTTGTGCAATCCAGGCTATTTGTTGTTCAGCTGTGAGGAATGATAAGCAATTCATATACAAGGATGGATGCCAAATTTGATGCTTTCAAAGCCAGAAAAGATCTTTGACATGAAAGAGCTATAGACCTGGCAGTTGGGCTTCTGTCCCAAAGTATTCAGTAGTGTGAGGCTTTATCAAGTCTTTACCAAGGGAAGACAAAACATTAAAAATTCTATTAGACTACTAGATTAGATTATATGTACGGTATATAAAATTCATACTGGTTATTGTTAAAAATAGAATGTTTGGAACAGAGTTTGTTGATCAGTAATTTTAGTTGCAGGGCAGTAGAATTCTGTTTTAAGTTCCTAGTCATTATATTTTGCAACTAATTTTATCCTTTGTCAGAAGTACAGTCTGAACGGATGATGATTTGTCCCTCCAATCCAGTAATCATATTTTTCAGAGATGATCAATAACGCACTAAAATTACAGGGAAAAGGGTCAGCTCTGTTCTGACAAGGCTGTTGTAAAGTTGTATTAAGGCAACATGCTAGGTGGAAAGGAATTTAACCCTCTTTCATTCACAGTACAGCTGGACCTTCTTATCTACAATTCTGTGTATCTGCAGTTGATAAATAAAATGGATAAATTTTGTTTCTCCATGGCAAGTTCCAACTGCTGACAGGTGGGGGGGGAGGTCTAGTCCAAAGCTCCTTTATGTTCTCGCCTCTCCAGTTTTAACATTTACATGGAATTGCTAGCTGAGGTCATCCGTCAACATGGCATCAGATATCATCAGTATGTTGGTCACACAATGTACATTTTGACCAGTGGTCAATCAAGTGATGCCGTTAAAATCTTGTCCCAATGATTGGAAGGGTTTCAGGTCTGGATGCATAGGATCAGGCCTAAACTGACAAGACTGAATAGATATGGGTACTGATTCTTCCACTGCTGATGATTTTTCATATTTGGCTTTGAATGAAGTTAAACTACTCTTAACAAAACTGGAGTACAATTTGGGAATCTTCCTTTACCCAGCATTCCTGCTGGAAAAGCGGGTGGCATCTGTGATCAGAACATCCTTTATATAGGTCTATCTGTTGCACTAATTGCACTCTTTCCAAGACTGGGAATCCCTTCTCAAGGTCACTCATGTTGATTATTCAATGCACTTCATTCAGGACTGCCTTTGAAACCCACTCAGAAGCTAAAACTGGGTCAGATTATAACAACAGGAGCCGTTATGAGTATGCCTATGTAACAACTCTGTTACATGAGCCGAAATGGCTTCTAGTGAGTTTTCATATGCAACTTGAGGGTGCTGGTTATCACTTAACAACGGCCTTCATGGATATAGGGGATGTCTATCTGAGACATATTCTGGCTCTTGTAATGACTGCCCAATCTATTCTATCCAGTTGGCACACTTTGAGTCCCATATATTAACCAATGTCATTTGATTGGACATAGGAAGTATATCTTCTCTGTTACGGTGCCTGGAATAGCATCCTACCAGAGGATTGGACTGCCCTTAACCTGCAAGTCTTTAAACAAACTCTGAAAACCTGATTTTTGTCCTGAAGCTCTGGGATAATAGGTCTGTCCATCTGAGATGCAGTGTCTGTTTCAGTTTCAACTATTTCAGTTTCTATAAAAGAATTTAGAAATGGAGCTATTCAAGAGCTCCTAAAGATGGGCATGGACGAGCAATTATACAATCTGGAGATTGAAGTAAGGGTGAGGGAGAAACTTAACCTTGCCTTGAGCTTCTTTAGGATAAGGTATAAAAGGCTGGAAAAGCTTATAAGATTCAGGTAGGCCAGGTTTGAAAAAGGTGCCAGATTCCAAAAGATTCTAGCTATGCTACTTTATTGTAGTAAGGGGTAACAGAATCTTGAAAGTCGGCACCTGTTTTCAAGCATTATCTCTATTTTTAATCTGTACACTTCCCAGAACTTGTATTGAGTTGGGCAATATAGTTAACTATAACTATAACTATAGTTATAGTTATATACTTAAATAAATAAAATCAGTTACTCAGTCCAGAATTTATTATTTGTGGTGAACAGCTTTGTATATCTACAATTGTTGGTGCATGGCTCTGATCCATTTGTTGTTTTGTACAGTGCAGAAGTGAGCATTGAACTCTCCCCTGCCCCCAAATTAATTTGCCAGTGACCTGCAGGGTTCTGACCTTATATGGTCACCTTCCTGCATGTTACCTTCTCCACATTGAAAATGAGGGTTCTGCTGATGAGAGAAGCAGTAATTGTTCACACAAAATATTGCTGTTGAGCATGAAGGTAAAGTTAGCAAGTTGAACAGTCAAGCTGCTAACCAAAGAAAGTGCCAGCATTGCAAAGATAACTATTCCCATCACAAGAAAGAGTTATGAGACAGCAATACCAACATGTTCCCATAGCTTTTAAGAGGAGGTAATTGATGAATGTTCCAGTGTTTTTTTAATTTTGATTTTTTGCCAGAGGCCAAACGGAGTTGTAGTTCTGCTAACTCCAATATTAGAGTGAAGGAAATCCACTGCTTTTTTACTCATTTATGTTAAATAAAGTACAGTTTATTTTTTAATAATATCTTTACTTATTGTTCTTTATTCAAAATAAAGACTGGAGGAAAAGAAGATATGGTACCTTTAATTCTGTAATTTCTTTTATTTCTAGTGATTTGGCATCATATTTCAGGGGCTATAGAAGCTATATGCTTATTCTCATAGGCTCCATGTCTTGTTACCTATAGCCAGTGGTGGGATTCAAATAATTTAATAACTGATTCTCTGCAAGGGGGAAGTGCGTGGCACTGCCACGAGGCAGGTGGGGGAGGGGGGAGCTGCCCCATGCAGCCCGCAATCACTTAACATGCCGAAGGGCCCCCCCGCAGCCAGGCCTACCACACCCCGACACCCGTCACACCTCGCCTGTTTGGTAATGACTTCTCCCGCTTTCTCCTTCTTCCTCCTCCTTTGAACAGCCCTTCACTCCCATTGCTGCTTTTTCAGTCCCGGAGTTTTTTCCGGAACCTGTGCAGAGGATCTTTGGAAATGAAGCTCTGCAGCGATCGGGTGGGGCGGGAACGAATCTCTTCGCTTTTAAACCGGCTCCAAAATGGGTTGGAGGGAGCGGCCCAAGGACTCCAATCTGGCTTTGCATCAAGCAAGGGGATTGGAGGCATGTGAATGTGTGCTAGTCTGGCGTCTCAAAAAATTGGGGTTTTTTTCCCCATTCTGGATTTTCGCTGCCATAATGTTTAACTTTCTTTACTTGATGCAGAATGTGGATCCTTCCAATTCTGCATCAAATAAACTTTTAAAGAAAGTTAAACAGTCTGGCAGCGAAAATCCAGGAGCAGGGAAAAAAACCCTGTTTCTTTGAGATGCCAAACTAGTATGCATTCACATGCCTCCAACCCCCTTGCTTGCTGCAAATCTAGATTGCAGCAAGCAAGGGATTGGAGGCACGTGAATGCACACTAGTCTGGCCATTTTGGAGCCAGTTCCCCGAACTCAAGAAAAAAATAGGTATTGGTTCTGCCGAACTGGTGCGAACCGGCTGAATCCCACCACTGCCTATGGCTTTGTTGATGGTTATATATTGGAATGTTAAATTGTAACCTATATATAGTTGAAGTACAGATGGGGATTACAAAGCTGTACTTCGAATGAGGTCCACCTCCACTTCAAAATAAGGATGAGATCTAAAGAAAATCAACTGTTATATATCATTACGTTCCTTAGAATTCAGCACTTTTTTTTAATACGTGAAACAGTTCAGCACAAGAAAGTGCTCCTTTTGGTCTATAAGCAGATACATTTTCCTATCCTAAGCAATCAGTGGTCAGGCAGCAGTAGTTCCCCCCCTCAGAAACTAGAGGGCAGACAAATGACAAATGGTGACTGAACATGAAATCACTGGAATTGACAGTTTTGTTAGCTAACAGCCTTTGAAGCACCAAAGAATAGATATCTTCTCTAAACATTTTTGTCTTTCCCTATAAAGGGAGATGGATGCTTTGGCAAACTTAATGCAAAATTCCTCTAAATCTTTTCCTGTCAAGATCAGACTAAGAAGGGGCTTTTAATTCACTGGAGCTGACAAGCAGAGAGTATACACTGATCCAGTGGAGAAATATTTTCTGAATCTATTCTTATTGTATAATCATTCAACTGTTGTCCAAGGAATGTCTCTCTTCTCCCTCCAGTCTTTTATAACCTGAAAGTAATAGATTAAAATGCCCATATTAGGGGAGCTGGTAATCTTGAGATGGCTGCAGATATACTGATTCTTGTTTCCTCAAATTCTGAAAAAAAGTATTTATTTTCCCCTGATCAGTATGTCAGATGTTACGGGAGTAGTTCAGTCCATCGTTTAGTAACAGCTGTCTAGAGATTAAGAGAAGTCTTACAATGGCCCTACGTTTGCTTTTAAAAGATTCTGAAAACATTGCTCTTTAGAAGAAGGACTTTAGCAAAACATTGGATACTTTTATTTTTACTTTTTTTTTTGCATTGAAAGTTAGACAAAGGATTAAATCAAAACCACTGAGATGCCAGTTTTCTAGTTTGGCCAGTACTGTAAGGCTTCCCCATCAGGTCAACCATTTCATTGGATTGACTCATAATTACTTGGCAATTGCAAATTCAAATTCTTTATATTACTTTCTCTGTTTTTTTCTCTGAATGTTTTTGTTAGATTTTGGTGGGCAAAAGAAAACATCAGTAGACCCCAAAGAAATGACATTTAGTTAGCATGACAAACTCTGGAATGCATGGTGGTGCAGTTGCTGAGTTCTGTTTATTTTTCCTTCAAGAAGGAAAATCTAAGAAGGGAGATTGTCCTCCTTGTTGATGGTAAAGTGCATTGCTGAGTGAAGGCTGAATCTAAATAGCCACTATTCCTGCAGTAGAGTTGTTGCAGGGAAGAGAGAGTCATAAGCAGCTTTTTCACTGGAGTTCTGAATATTTTCATTATCAAATACCAATCAACAAGGAAAATACAGTACTGAAAAATTTGAATTGTTGATTTATTTAAACAACATAAGTAAAGGTTAATTTTTCCATTTTCCCCCAGTCTATGCAAGAAAAGCTTTTAGAAGGAAATCTAACAATTCAGAAACAAAAAAATGAACTTGAAGAAAAGGAAAAGAGTGTACAGCAGTTAAAGGAGGTACTTCTTGAAGTAAGTTTCTGAGATTATCCTCTGAAGTAAATTTACCCGTCTGCCTTTTTCATGTATTGTGAGTGAACCGTGAAATAATTTCCCAACTTGCAATTAAGTTCAAGTGCTTTTTTAAAAACCTCAGTACTAGACAGGAACCAAATACATTAGTGAACATCTTACTATAATTGGGAAAGTCTCTGGTGGACCAGTAGCTAGTGGTGACAGATTGATTTGCTATCTCAGATAAACAAACAAAAACCAGTCCTCACATTTTCAGTCAGAAGAGAGATTTGGACAGTTTTATTAATAATCGTTTGCTTCAATTATCATTCAGTTATCATTTGACAGTGTAGGAGCTCCTCTTGCTTATAATAAAATGCCAAGTATTGAAACTTACATTGTGCAGCAGAACTTTTTTTCATTTATAGACTAGGATCTAAAGTACTACACTGCTAAGCTTATATATTCAAAGTGGCTTTTTTTTCAGGATCCTAAAATGTAGCCCAGATTTTTTTTAAGCCCTCTTCTCCAGTTTGTGCAGAACGAGAAGGATGTACAGGTAGTGTTCATATAAACAATGGTAATTGGAATTGCAAACTTCGTCACTAAGCAAACAGTTGTAAAGTGTGATGCCAGCATCAGTTGCATCAGTTCCAGAAGCCATTCTTAAGGGGAAACTGAAATGTTAGATGTGACATCACATGATTGCCATTTCCAAACTCCTGCCAGTTTCCCCATTGACTTTGCTTGTTGGAAGCCAGCAATGAAGGTTAGAAATGGTGATCGTGGGTCTGCAGGATGGTGCAACTGTTGTAATTACAAGCCTATTGTCAGGTGCCTGGATTATGATCACATGACCATGGAAATACTTCAGTGGCCACTACTGCAAGGACCGGTCATAAATCTCCTTGTTCAACATGTCATAACTTTGAACAATCTCTGAACAAGTTGTCATTAGAAAACTATCTATAGTTTGATTGATTATCTGAGATAATAAAAATATGTTAGATCATCAACTGACTAATATGTAACAATGTGGATATTTGTTCTATCATGTTAACATGTGAGGTCCACCATTCTGGCCTTTCATTTCCCCACAGTTTTCTTATCAGATGTCAAACATCTGGTTCATGCCCCTGAATGCAGAGTTTCTTTGAAATAAAATATAAACAAACTCTTTTTCAGATGCCTATCTTCCATTAGAATGTTTCTGAAAATAAACCAATTGAATAAAATAATTTTTTGTTCTTTTATTTTCATCTTGTTTTAATGAAGAACCAAAGATTTATGGAAGAAAATGAACGTTTAAGAGAACAGATTCATCTGATGGAGCAGTCCAGACAACCGGTGGCTGAAAAGTTACCTGTGGCAGATCAGTTATTCATAGAGATGTCTCACTGTCTGTTTGACTTGAAAGCACTTTGCAGTATTCTTACTCACAGAGCTCAGGGCAAAGAACCTAACCTGTCCTTGCTGCTCGGAATCCAATGTAAGTAATGTGGACAGAAATGCCTACTATTCCTTTTGGCACTGAGTAGATCTGGGAAAGGAAAATCTAGGGATGTTAGTAAGAGAAGAATAGGAGGCTCCAGATTGATGGACATTTCTGACTTACGTAAACTAATAAATACATAAATTACTAATAAATTTGGAATGGGAAAAACAGGTATGTAGTATATGTGAAAGGCTTATTTTCTACAACTGTAATTCAGAAATGTACAGTTATGTTGGAGAATTAAATTTAATCTTCTTACAATATCGGGCTCCCTGCAGCTTTTCTATAGTATAGTTGTATGATGTTTGTGGTCTCCAAGCAGCCATGAAGTCATGCTGAAAATTGGTGCTTTGAAACAGGCAGCCTGTGGCACTACTGCTAGATTTTTACCTCAGAGTATCATGCTGTCATTTTAGTTCCTTTAAAAGCCTGAGGAGCAAGACATTCTAGTATTTTCAGTTGAATAAGTAGAACACTCCAATTTCCCCAAAATAAACTTTATTAGGACCTCATTTCTTTATGCTAGCTGGGATCTCGTATGTTCTGGTGACTGCCTGAACTGGTTATTATTGTCAGTTTTTCTCAAGTTAACTTCTAATTCTGGCAGAAAATAAAAACAACCTCTACTAGAGAATACTCTTTGACCAAATTTGCTTCCCCAAGAACTCATCTCTTCTATCCACATTCTATTTTTAGTAGGCAGAAAATATAAAACCAAGATGCTGACTTTCTTCTCTATATCATGTGTAATTTTAAAGTGATCATAGCAACACGCATTTTGTCAAGAAAGTGAAACATTCACATTTTTTTCTAGAGCACAGCAGAGTTAGGTCATTAGGTCATTTATAATAGTATGTTTTGAACTAGTGACTTGTTTTAACTTCTATCCCTGGTTCTTCTTTAACAGCAATGAACTGTTCCTCTGAAGATGAGAAGCACCACAGCACAGAAAGTCTCTCGAAGAAGCTCACAGAGGTTTGTCAGTTACGGAAAGATATTGATGAACTGAGGACTATAATTTCAGACTGCTATGCTCAGGACATGGGAGAAAATTGCATTACACAGTGATGACACCTTGGCCTCATACTAACAACTAAGTTATTAAATGCTGCTCTGGTTTTAGTTCTTCATATTTCTGTTACAAACAATACTGGAAAGCAAATGCTGTGCCAGCTGAAAAGGTTTCATACGTTTGTGCATAGTTCATGCAGGTAATACGATCTTCTATCGAAGAGATTTTGTGCTGCGGGGAAAAATCTAATTTCTTTAAAACTACTGAATGTAGGTCAAAGCTGTGAATAATGTTCTTTTGAAAATGTTTTTTATTTCTTTTGTTATGCTGATAAAAGAAAATACAATGTTTTCTGGAGTAAAAATGGAATTACCAGAAGAGGGCACTATAACAATGGTTCAGCAAGCTTTTAGGATAGAAGATCAGGCCTGAGAATCTTCATGACAAAGGCAGTTGGATGTGCTTGGTTATTTGAACGCCAGGTATTAGAACTGTGGATGAAGACATAGAGTCCTAACAAAGATTATTTTTGGGGGGGGATGAAGAAAGTACTGATGGTTTGGGCCACATTAGGTAAAAATGATATGCTCTTTAAGGGTTGCATTCCCAGTTTGATTATTGTTTTACTCTGCAGTTCTTGTGTAATGCAAAGGGGAAAAAAATATGAAAAAACATTCACATTTCAGGAAGGGATTCAGACTTAGAATTCAGTCACCAACTATTAAGCTCTTTTGCATTAATTAGGTTGGGCAAAATGGTTTTGATAAAATATTTTTTAAAAAATCAAAAACATTAAGTGACATTTTTAATTCTATCTCCAGCCATATATGTGTGTGTGTGTGTGTGTATGTATGTACACGCACGCACACACACACACACTTTGAAATTTGGCACAAAGTAGTGTCTGAATTTGAATGTTGGAATTCCAGTACACAGAAAAATAAAAAACCTTGAAGAAACTTGATTTCTTCTGGCAATCTGAAACAGTAGATCTTGATGAATAATTAATATATTTGCTCCAAAATTGTATCACAATTGGCATAAAAACTTTATGTGAAAACAGAGTTCTTGACTATTCAGACAAATATGCTTAAGTTTCTCTTATTGCCAGAAGAGGACTAGGATGAACTCAGCAGTGCCAGCCTTCATAGAGGCAGTGTTAAAATGCCTGAATTATAGGTATGCCACTTTATAATCCAGGTTTATGTATTTTGCTGTGTTAGAATTTATACACTGTTTGTCAAGACAAGCCTGATACCACTTTATTCTGACAATCTATTCTACAATCTACAAAAAACACCTTCTTTGGGGAAAAAAAGGAGGCTAAATACAATGCATGATACTCATAGATGCTATGAGGCTCATAATTTCAGTCTTGTCAAAAGTTGATACTTAAAAGAGCAAGAAATGGATTACCATTTTAAATTTCTTACATTAGTATTTTTCCTTAAGCAATTTTTGAACATTGATTTTAGAGTGATATTTTCACATTTGTGTGAGCCAAATTTATATTTTATTTGTATATGATGCAGTTTAAAAAATTGGCCTTTTTAAAGTTATACTTATTTTAATAGGAGTTTATTCCTACTCTGTGATGGCTATACTCTTTGTGGAAATTTATTTTAATATTGAACTTAACTGATGCTCAGTTGTTTTAAATGCACATTTGTAAATATTAAATAGAAGCAGCTAGTAAGGGATAAAAGATACTTAATCCTGCTGATTGAGACCTGAATTTAAAATATTACGGTCACAATCCCAAAAGTGTTACTAGAAATAAAATTGGGCAGTACTTATAATTGTAACTTTAAATTCATATCTATGCAGATGAAGGGGTGAATGATCAGAACTAATTAGCTGATTCACTTTCTCACCAACGAACAATGAGTGCAAGCCTGACTTTCTTAACTATACTGTGCTATTAAGAAGCACAAATGTCATTTTTTGATTCTAAATGTTCGCATTTTATATTCTACTGGACTCTGTATCTTGCAAATAATTTAGAACTGCAGCATTATGTTATTATTAAAAAAGAATCTTCCACAATAAATATTGAAGCATTTTGTGGAAGTAGATTTTTGACACCAAATTGTCAAGAAATTTCATGTTTGCATGGGCTGCAAATAACTGATTTTAATGAACTAGTTAGCTGGATTGTTTAGCTTCTTACCTTTAACAAGCAACATATTTGTCTACATTATGGCATCATGAGGTCATATCACCACTTTTACTTTGAAGAGACAATCATATAGCACTCATGGAAGAGCTAATTTTTGAGAGGTTATCCCAGATACCTGATAACTTTGATCCTTGCTCAGATATTTAACTTCTGTAGTTTAACTGTTTCGAACATATTCATACTCTATGCATGTTTATGAACCTTTTTTAAAAAAAGGTTTGACAAATTGTTTTACAAATCTTATTTTTAAAAGATATTTTTGCTCTAGAAATAAGAATTGTGTCGCAAGAAATGCCTCCTAACATGCTGTAGAGCAGTATTTTTCAAACCTGGCAACTTTAACCAAGACTCCTAGAATTGTCCAGCCAGCATGCTATCCACATACTGAGTTGCCAAGTTTAAAAAACACTTGTAATTAAGACATCAGTGAAAATAAATGGATAATTTGTTTAACAATAGTAATATAATTATTTCGGTTTAACATGCATATATGTATCCTTGTGAAAACATAGATAAGACTTCACTAGGCAATTTGTTAAAAAACAAAGCCAATGTTCCACAGTACTTTGGGGAACTTGTTTTAGTGTTCACCCCATCCTTCCACTCATACCCAGTGAAACTATGAAGGTGTAGCATGCATTCCAGCTGCATTTCACCCTCAGTGACTGCAATTCATTGATTGGAGACTCCTAATGGATGTGTGTTGATAAGGATATCCAATGTTTTAGAGAAGGCCTGAGGCTGTACATCTGTGTGGCCTTCTTTATGCTACCAGCAAACACAGAGTGTTGGGAATTAGGGCTATTAGTACGACTCTCTTTCTTCTTACACATTCATGGAACAACTAAAAAGAGGTTGTGATTTCTGACATTTTGGCCTATCAAACTGGCCAGTAAAAAATAGTATGCTGTGAATCACAAATCTATTCAAGCATTTGATAGAGACTGCTAAGTGGTTGTTCCTGTGTTAAACAAGGAGGGACCTAGATTTATCCTCAGATGCTAGATAACAGGGAGAAGGCATCAGCAACTGCTAGTATGTAGGTTATGTAGAATACAGAAAGAGATTTATTTTGTCATTGAAGGCTCTATGTCCTGGTAATTAGTTTAATGTGTCTTAGTGAAATGAAAACAGTCAAAGGTGGTAACCAAAGAAAGAAAAGCAGAAGGACAAAATTAAATGAGCCATAAATGCACAGTATTATTTTATTAGTAATAACTTAGCAGTCTTTGAATCTGAAGAACCTACAAGTTTACAATGCCTATTTAGTAGTTTATATTCTGCATAAGAAATGCGTGAGTTTTTTCATTGAATATGTGTGTGGCCTCATTCAACACATGTTGTAAAAAGTGGTTAACTAACAACAGCTTTTTAAAAAAATGGTTCACAATGGTATTACTAAGTTGATTTAGTCATGACAACCTTTCCCCGCAGATACAGGAGATCATCCAAAGAGCTGAAAAAGTATTACTAATAAATAAAATGTAGATAATAGGTTTGTCAGCAAAGATGAAGGCAAAAATTACCCATTTCGTATGTCGAGGTTGCATTTTTACAGATGTGTAGATGGCATTCTGTAGTAACTACTATAATTTAAGAATGTATCCCAAAAAGGAATTTAGAAAGTTACTTTCATATATGGCTAATGCAGTTATTTATATGGCATTTGTATGTGCAGTATTCAAATTTAGTACTGTAGTATAAACTTAATTTGATTTTATTTTTTGTAAAGCATGGCAGTGATCCTATTTGGAAAATTGACTTAGCTCTGATAGTAATGCCCAAATCAGTAATACTTCCTCATTATATAAGGGTAGAGTTAGTTTTTAAATAAATATTTAAGTTTTTGGAATGTAAGTTATGACCACAGATCATTTTTAGTAGGTTTACCATAATCAGTCACCCTGGATATAGATATTTTTTTAAAAAGTAATATAAATGAACCAAAATTATTTTTAACTTTTTTCTTAGTCTTTGAATTAGTTTTTTAGTTATTTATTCCCACCCCACCCTCTTTTAGAAAAATTGTGAAAAATTATTTGTTATATTCCAGAATGAGAATAAAAAGCTAAAAGATAGATGCAAGATACGGTGTGCATCAGTTTTACTCTGCCTAAAACTTAAACTGGGGCTAAATTCACCTAACCCCAAAATTTATTATTTAATAATGCTTCTGTAAATCTGTGTATATTTAAAAATAACTCTAAACATAAAAGAGATTTGACATCATATTCTAGATTTGGATTTCAAACAAAATTGAAGGCAAAGTTACTATTCTGTAAAAAGCCAATGGATATTAAAAATTAGGTGAATCAGTCAATAAACCAATAGTCTTTGGAGTATTATTTCCATCTCTTTGTAACTCTGTGCCTTTTATTTTTATTCATGGCTTAAAAGTAACATTTTAATAGCTATGAAAGTATCAAAATTTGCACTTTGTTTCCTCTGATTTTTGAGTCTTTAGCTTGTAAATGTGTGAGAAACTTTTCGTAAATAGAAATATTTTTTAAAAGTTGTAGGTCACCTTTGAAACTTAGTCTGGTCTGTTTTTACCAGCTATTCTGTATATGGTAGAGAATATGCAGGAAATTCAGTCAGAGTGTCCTTTTGTATATATTAGGTATATCATTGTTAATCAGTGGCTAGGCAAGGGAAAAGAGGGCTCTCCTTCAAAGCACAGCAGACTTAAACTGGATCAGTTTTCTAATGCTGGTAGCTCTTCAATGTTGGTTCGGTTTTTGAGCCACTCAGAATACCTCATGTGTACATAGAGTTGTCATGACTTAAATCGAAATGCATTCAGTATTGTTGCTGTTTTTAATTTTTATTTTTAAAGAGCCACTGGCTGGCTCATCTCGTTAGGCCTGTCATTCTTGCCTACCCTCTTTTTGTAACTTTTTTTAAAGTAGCATTTACAGCTAGAATTTTGAATGCCAAAGTTCTATTTATTAAATGATAAAATTTTCATTGTTGATTATACTAGTATTTTTCCACTCAATATGTTTGTTTGATGTTTGAATTTGTATCTGCAGAACAAAAATAAATTTTGTTAACAAAAGCTGGACATTTTCTTTGTTCCTAATTTTAAATAACATGGTATCACTGGGATAAATGTTATATATCATATTTGCTTGCTGATAGCACAAAAGAATATTGTCAACGAATGGACATGAAATCTAAAATTAAATAACAGTCAGGTGGCATACAAATTTAATTGTTTTTATCTGTTCACAACAATATGAAGTCACAGTTGCCAGTTCTTTTTTAGCCTGTGTTGGCCTTCATATTCATTGAGTTTTTCCCAAGTACCTAGGATGTCGTAATGTATCAACATAGTATATGTGCAGATCCAAGCAGGTCTTTTGCAATTATTATTATTATTAAATAGAGCTGCTTACTAGAAGTTATCCAGCAAGAAATACTGGGTCCTCTGTGAATTCATGTTGCGCTTGCCTCATTAGAGAATGCTGTGATATAACAAGCTAAGAAAGAAATAAGTTCCCTTGCACTCGCTCAGCTTTAGTGCATAATATGGAGACAGTGCTGGGGTCACACTTGTCTACAATCTTTGGTGGAACCACTATGGGGATGCTGCATCCTATCCTAGTACTCCTTGATCTCTCAGCAGCTATTCATACTGTTGAC